AGCCCAGCCCCCTGCCAGGCCCTCCCAGCAGACTGGCTGCAGGTGAGCACCCCTCGTCTCCCCCGCGTGCACCAGGGCACCGCCGCCGGTTGCAAGCAGAGCGGGGAGCCGGCTGCAGGCCCCCGCCCCCCCCCCCGCAGCGCCACGCCTCGTGGGCCTGCCCAGGTCTCACCCCGGCCCAGGGAGCCTGGCTGCAGTGGCCGCTCCCCGGCTCTGAGGCACCTCCTCGACCGAGAGCCCACGTGCAAGGAGCGCCCGGCTCGGGCGGCAGCCCAGTCGCAGCGTCTGCTTCATGTTAATTACAACAAACCTGCCGCTGGTCTGGGACCCTCGGCCGCCACAGCCGCAGCCCACGGGCCACGCGTGGTGCTGTGTTCACAAGACACGCGACCCGCGTCCAAGGCTCCCTCAGTGGTGCTGGCTGAGACAAGAGGTCTGCACAGGGCCTCCTCACGGTCACTCATTTAAGAACATCCTCGCCACAGTGTCACTGGAGAAAAACTCTCGTGAGTTAACCCTTTGCGGTCGTATGTCTGCTCTCAGCCACCACAGCAAGGAACCGTACGAATCTTAACTCTATTCACTCATGTATCAGTTCATAATTTCTCTGAAAGCTCTTAAGTGTCTAAGCGACCTTGTCACGAACCAAAACATTGCCCCGACAAATCGGAGATATCGAAACTCAATATAAACAAACGCGGTCGTTCCACACTCGCCATGCAAAACACCATGGCGAGTCAGTCGCCTTCTGAGAGTGAAGAAATCGACGGGCTTCGGAGATACTTCGCAGAATTTCAAATAAAGCTTTACAAATTACGTTTAACTGTAATTGGGCATTCTCGCTTGTTAAGATATTTCAAAATAATACTCCAAAATGGCAAAAAGAAAGTTACCAAAAGAAGTGTACTGCGAATCTGAAAGTAACGATGAAGAGTTTTATTTTGGCACCTTGAATACTGACTCTGACGTAGAAAGTGATAACGTTTGTAGTGATTCTACTAGTAGTGACGTAGTTCCAAAAAAGAATTAATAAATCTTGTTTATCCTTCATAATCTTGCATGTTATGTATCACTGCTCTTTCAATGGGAATTAATTCCGACCAGTAGGACACCCACGTCCAAATTTAATACGACCGCAAAGGGTTAAAACTATAAACGTAATGGCTACTGTGTGCTCACCAGACAGACATTCAGCCCCGGGTCGGCACCACCCCCAAATCCTGCCGAGTGGGCCAGGTGCGGGGCCAGCCCGGCTCAGGTGTGGTCAGTGCCTGACTGTGGCCCCACGGGCACCGCAGGGACAGGTCCCGGGGCAGAGGGGGGAGGCCACAGGGGCCACCTGGGAACTCGGGCTGTCATCAGTATCCCCGTGAGGCCTGGCCTCCGCCCCTCTGGCCGGGACCCTGGCCGCTGTCCCCCACCAACCTGCACACAGCGGCCCCAGGACTTCAGCCCTCGGCCCTCCCCCACCCTGGGCAGCAGCAGGTGAAGGGAGTATGTGGGGGGGGGGGGGGCGGGGGGAGAGGCGGGGCTGGCATGTCGGGGTGGGAGCGCCCTCTGCTGCGGTTGACAGGAAACTGGAGCAGGTCCCTGGAAGGCGTGTTTCAGTTGCAGCAGGAGAAACGCTGATGAGCCAAGACCACAGGACCCCACTCAGAGCCGAGGACGCCAAGTGACGGGGGCCCCCTGGAAAGGGGGGCCCAGCACTGGCCCCAGGCGGCTGGGTGCACCCCCATCCCCGCTGTGGGCCTGTCCCTGCGGCCTCTGGTCCCTGCTGTGCCTCCCAAGGTCAGCCCCTCAACCTTGACAGACTCTGTTGCCTCGTGGTCAGACGGAGCCTCAGGGCCCTCACGGATTTTAATTCTCAGTGTCCTGGCGAGGGTCACTTTTTAAACATATATATATATTATTGATTTTTTTACAGAGAGGAAGGGAGAGGGATAGTTAGAAACATCGATGAGAGAGAAACATCGATCAGCTGCCTCCTGCACACCCCCTACTGGGGATGAGCCCACAACCAAGGTACATGCCCTTGACCGGAATCGAACCCGGGACCCTTCAGTCCACAGGCCGACGCTCCATCCACTGAGCCAAACCCGTTAGGGCGAGTGTCCCTCTTTAAGACCAAGTCAAACACCCTCCCTAGGAAAGCAAAGCGTTTGTCTTTAAATACGAGTCCCGCGTGGAAACCCAGACGCTGGGCCACGGAGCTCACCAAGCACTGCAACCAGCAGAGTTTACTGAAATGATGAATTTTTAACGTGAGCCTCCGGGTTCACAGAGCTCTGCTCCTCCTGTGGCCTCGAGGGAGGGGCAGCAACCATGAGCCTCGGTGGGTCCACTCCCCTCGGGGCCTGCGGTCTCCCAGGCCAGGCTCTCCACCCAGTGTGCCCAGCACCCCTGCCCTCACAGCTGCCCTGCAGCGCCCCCATCCAGACCTCCAGGACCCCAATAAGCAGTCCAGAGACAACCAGGCCACCTGCCAGCCCCACCCAGAGCCTGGGGCCCAGGTGAGGACTGGGTGCCCCGACACCACCCTCCACCCAGAGCCAAAGGCAGGTGTTGGCACCTTCAACCACCTGAAAGGGACAAAAACCCACCACATCCATGTAATGCTCCCACCAGCCTGCACGTGGGTCCGACATGGAAGGAAACACCCTGGGTTAGAGCCTCGAGGGGAGTGCCACAGCTTTGGGGGGGGTTGGGGGGGGGATGACGTGGTCATTTCACTGGGGCCCACGTGACGTGCTCACTTCACCGGTCACAACAGATCCCGCCAGGCCCGCCGCTGCAGCCTGTCCTCGGCCTGAGCCCAGCTGATGCCACCGAAAGCTCCAAGCGTCACCATCCCACGCGCTCAGACCCTTTGACGGCACCGCCCGCGGCCTGTGGAGGGCGCACCTGCGCAGCCCGGCTCGGGTGGCCCTACCCCAACCACGGCCCTGGCTTGCCACCAGCAGGCCCCCGAGAGGAACACAGCAGATAAAGCGTCTGCCAGACACAGGACAAAACCATCAAAGGAAGACATTTATTTTCAAGTTTCTGTGGAGACATCACAAACAACGGAGACTGAAAAGGAAAAACATTTAAAAATTTCAGACTACCAGTTTAAAATAAAAATATGATTAGCTAAAATAATAAATAATGCCATGACAACGCAGGGTGCGGTGCCCGGATGGGCCGGTGGGGACAGGCCGGGGGCCCAGGCCCGCCAGCCTCCGGCGCCTGCCCACCAGCACGCTGGGGACGTAGGAATGAAATGGCCACACCGTCCAAATCTTGACTTTATTTTTTAATATAAAAAAATGCATTTGGAAACCCACCCTACCTTTTCCCCTAACATAATGCTTTACCTCTTAAAAATAAAAATAAAGTACTAATTCTATGTACATCACAGGTACCATACAAAATGTATCCAAAGTTTCTATTGCTACCAAAGTGTCCTAAATCAAAACAAGTACAGAAAGCCCCTCATTGTAAACAGGATACAAGTTACAAACCAAAGAACACAGCCAGTCTGTACAGCCAGCAGCCCGCGCCGGGGCGGGCGGACGTCCGTGTGTATAAAAATGCTATCAATATACTTTTGCAAATTTATTTTTCATTATAAAGCAGGTGAATACACTTTCTACAATAAATAATCCGCTGGGGCCCCCTGGGCGGCCGGAGGCGGGCGGCGGAGGACCGGCGGACGGCAGCACCGGGACGCGCCCGCCCAGCCGCAGGGCGCGGAGTGTTTTTGGTGATTCGCAGGTGATGTACACGGCAGAAATTTCCTCTCCGCCTCTTTCCACAAAGTACCACTCAAAATAATGTCATTTTCTTTCTTAAAATACACATTTGTCACTGCAAATTTACATCCCATCTTGTTAAATAACAGGTACTCTGTGTAAAGAGTATGATTTACAAATTTATTAAACATTCAAAAGTCTTTTTTAAAAAAGCTATGGATCAAAGAAAGTGATGCAAGCAGCACCCTCCGGTGACCTGTGCCGGGCAGAGTCGTGCGGAAGCTGCGCCCGCCGCGCCCAGACGGATGGTTTCATAGAAAACTTAGAAACAAACCTCCCCGATTCCCCAGGGAAAAGAATGAAAGAACTACATCTACCATCAGAATAAGTTAGGTTTTGAACAATATACAAACATGTACAGCTTATCAACATATGGACACGGCGGGCCCTCAGTCGATGTCGCTGAGGTCGCTGGCCGGCTCCCCGTGCACCCGGCTCAGGTGGTTCATGGCGCGGTCGAAGGCGACCCGCACAGCCTTCCGGATGCTGGAGTTCCTCCCCTCCATCATCTTCAGCTTGTCTATCGTCTCGTCGATGCCAAGGGGGACCATTTTGGACTTAGGGAGCCACTGCCTTTTTAAAAGAAAAGAAGTGGCAACAGTGAGAGCTGCGGGCGCCTTCCCTTCGCCACACGTCACGTCAGTCTAGCCACGCAGAGGCCTGCTGACGTGACCCCGGGGTCAGGGTGCCCCGGGGGCCAGGGTGCGCGGGAGGCCCCTCCAGAAACCCCGGAGCAGGGCTGGCGGTGGCCGGCCCGGTCAGCGTGGGGGCTGCGGGGCGGGGGCACAACCAGACCCTCACGAAAACCAGGTGGGCACCTCCTCTCCTCCATGATTCCCAAGAGGCCCGTGTCCTGGAGGCCCCGTCAGCCTTCCACGTCTTTCCCCAGTGGCCACCCAGGGCCACCAGCACGACACCCAAACCCAATCCAGCCGAACATGCCAATGCTGGTGGGTGCCCCAGCTACAGCCCCCAGGTGCCAGCAGGCTCTGCACCCCCCAGGCGGGCGCCACACCAGCAGCTGCGGGCAGAGGGGCTGCAGGGCTGAGGTCAGAGAACTCTGCTGTTGCCCGGGAGCTGCCGGCAGCACCGCGAGCTTCCGTCCGCGCTCAGAGGGGCCAAGGCGGTGCCCCGGGCAGAATGCCCCGGGCCAGGGCCCACCTGAGGGCAGGGAGGACTGGGTGGGCCCACAGGTAAGAAACGGAGGCCCGGCCGCCCCCAGCCTCCGTGCTCCCAGTGCCGGGCACTTACCAGCTCCGCTTGTTGTCGAAAAAGAGGACGAGGAACAGCCGCTCGTCCGCCTTGGTCTGCATGTGCTCGCCGATCTTCAGCACGTCCAGCGGCGGGGCCGGGATGGTGACCCCGTTGTGGTGCCCTGGCACGCGCGGCATCTTAGGGTCGATGATCTGCCGGGGGGACACGGGGTCACACCGAGCGCTGCACCGAGGTGGGCTGTGCAGGAGCTCTCCCGCCCCCTCCCCCACGGGTGTCCTGACAGGAGCGTGGACGCCTGCCCCACGCGCAGGGGACAGCAGCACCGCCCAGCCCGTGCCCCGCTCACCAGGGCGGGGTAGGAGGGGTAGCCGCTGCACTTGGCCCACACCACCTTCAGGGGCTCGAGCGCGGAGGCCGCGGCGTCCGTTGAGATCCACATGCTGCTCTGACCCACTTCTAAGAGAGAGAAGGAATGAGGGGTGAGCCCCCAGGCACCCAGCAGGGTGCACGCTGACCCCGAGCAGAGACACCCCCCGGAACGGTGGGCACGGGGCACCCGCCCTGGCTGAGCCTGTCTGAGGCCCCGGCACCAACACTGTTACCCGCAGTCTAGCCCGGGGTTTCCACGCACCCCGACTCTACTTGAGGGCTCCAACCTTCAGGCTCCCAACATCTCTCCCTCCTGAGCCCCCACTTCCGCCCTCGTGCCCACCTCCCGGGAGGTCCCCAGGGCACCTCTGGAACCAACACCCTAAGTTTAAAACCACAGCCCTGGCTCCCTCCCCGTCCCTCCTCACACCCTCAAACAGCAGGGAGCCTCGTCTGACCCTTAGAACCTCCCTGGAGTCCACACCCACATCCTGGGGCCCCAGGTCCCGCTAGTCCCCAGCCCCCTCTCCACGCAGCCCAGGGCTGACCGGCTGCTCTGCTCAGACCCCTCCTGGCTGGACCACTCATCTCCACCCACATTTCCAATGCAGTCTCCATCCCAACACAGCTCACTGCTCCCACCGGACCCCGAGCCGCCTCTAGATACTGAAAGCTGGGGGACCCCCACCCCGCCCCGTAGTCTCACAATTGGCTGCAGATCACACATGAGCCTAAACAAAGCCTGTCAGCCTCACAGGGTCTGACAGGAACCACTTGGGGCCGAGCACCCACACAAAAGCCGCCTTCCGGGAGAGGCCAGGGTGCAGAAGTCCCCCCTGAGGCGGGAGGCAGTGTCCACGGGGCACACCCAACGTGCTGCCTTTACTCCTGGCCAGAGGGACGCACAAAGGGGCCTGGGCTGCACTCACCGGCTGCGATCCTGGCTGCCTTGGCGTAGTTCCCGTTCTCGATGCAGGAGATCAGCTCGCTGCGGTCCTCCAGCGTGTGCCTGCGCACCAGGGCAGGCTTGCCGCGGCCGCACTTGGGGGCGCTGAAACTGCGGGGAGCGCAGGCTGGTCAGGTGGCGCCGAAACCCTCACACCCGCCCCCAGGGAGCTGGGCCCAGCAGCAGGGACTGCAGCCCAGGTACAAAGTGGCCCCTGCAGGGCAACCGGCCAGGGCTGCGCTCACCACCATCCCGTTACAGGCAAGACTTTGTAAGGAAAAGTATGACTAACTCCCCATTAAGACCTGATGCTCATGCATCTGTCATTCCCGCTTCTCGGGTTCAGGCCCACAGAACAGGCCCCATGTAACTGGGGAACCCCGTCGCCCACCTGGCGTCGCAGAGCGGGCTGCTGCTGGAGGCGATGCTGGACTCGGAGGCGCAGCGGCGCCGGGGCGTGGCTTTCCTCCCGGGGAGGCTGCCCGGCTCCTGCTCGCTCCTCACGCCCCCAAAGCCATTGGTGAGACCTGCAAAGACACAGCGGCTGAGCTCTGCGGCCGGAGCCGCTGCCCCGAGCGCGACGTCCCCCCAAACCGGAACCTAATGTCTCATCTGTGACAGCGTGGAGGCCGTCGCCCCAAGCCCCAGCCCCGGGCACAGGAGCCGCGCCTGTGCAGCGACACCAAGGCTGACAGAGCCTCGCGCGCTCAGGGCGCTGGTCTCAGGGGCTCTTCCAACGTCACGTGTGACACAGGCTCCACCAAGCAGAGGACAGGCGTGCTATTCGCTCCCAGGCAGCGGGCCACCCGCATGTCCCTCCGGCGCAGGCGGGGACGAGCCGTGTCTGCACCAAGCTCGAGGGCCAGACCGGCCGGGACCTGGCTGAGGAGCCAGACCACCAAGAGCGACTTCACACAGTGGAACTTCAAATGGGAACGGAAAGTCGATGAAAAAACTCTTTCAAAAGAAAAGTATTAACAAGAACCTAAAAAACACGTTAAAACAGGCCACAGGCACCTGGCTACCGGGGGTGGGGGGCAGCGCACTCCCAGGAAGCGGCGCTCACAAGCCCAGGCCAGGCCGCCTCAGAGCCGCGCCCTCCGTGACCAGACACACTGGCGACGTCCCTACCACCGACGTCAGGCCAAGGGACCGGGCAGACCTCTCACTGCATAGCCCGTGTGTCCTGTCCGTCCATCCGTCCGTCCGTCCCCCCCGGCCCCGGCCCCTGCAGACCCAGCCGGGCTCCCTCCCGTGTGACACCGAGGACTGTGCATATTTTTTTCCCCAAAAAAGAAATCCCACTCCTCATGCTTAAAAAATTGAAAAGCCATTTCTTTAAACCGAGTGAAGTGGGTGGTCAGGTTAGAGGGTCTCTCGCCTGCTTTACAAAGGCAACCTCGCTTCACTGCGCTTCGCAGAGACTGCGATCCCACCAACGAAGGCTTGTGCAGCCCTGCATCTCGCCAGCCCACGGGCACCACTTCCCCAACACCTGTGCTCAGTGCTGTTGAAATATTACAAACCTTGTCATCGTCAAAACCTGGTCATGGTGCTCTGTGATCAGTGACCCTTAACCTTACTCCTGTCATTGTTTGGGGCCCACAAACTGCCCCGTATGAGACCAAGAACCTAACTGATAAATGCTGTGCTCTCACTGCTCCACTGACCGGCCGCCCACCTCTCTCTCTCCTGGGCCCCCTATTTCCTGAGACACAACAAGACGGAAGTCAGGCCCATTCAGAGCCCACAATGGCCTCCAGGAGGCCCAGTGAAGGAAGAGCTGCACCCCTCACTTTAAATCAAAAGCAGAAACGACCAGCTTGGTGAGGCTTGTCCAACGCCAAGAGAAGCTGAAAGCGAGGCCTCTCACGCCCAACAGTGAGCCTGCTGTGAAGGCCAAGAGGTTCTGGAAGGAAATTCAAGCGCTGCTCCAGCCAACACGCGTGATGAGAGGGAACAGCCTATTGCTGGTGAGGAGACGGGTCCGTGCTCTGGGTTGAGGCCACACAGCCACAGCTCCCTGCAGCCAAAGCCTAATCCAGGGCCAGGCCCTGCTCTTCCATTCCGTGAAGGCTGAGAGGTGAGGAGGCGGCGGGAGGAACGTGTGGAGATGGGAGGCTGGTCGTGAGCTGAAGGAGGTGCCAGGGGAAGCAGCAGGTGCTGAGCTGCAGCAAGCTGTGCACAAGGGCCGCTCGGATGACCGTGGAGGGGCCACTCAGCAGGTCGTCCACAGCCTCGGAGTGTGGAGGACACGGCCTCCTCCGGGAAGGAGACGCCACCTGGGACGTCCACAGTGAGGGGAGGTCAGCGCCCGGCCTCACAGGACCAGCGGCTCCTGCTAGGAGCTCATGCAGCTGTGACTTTAAGCTGGAGCCAGTGCTCACTTCCATTTAGAAAATCCTAGGCCGGTAAGAGTGATGCTCCGTCTGCTCTACCTGTGTCTGAACGTGCCACACGGCTTCCTGCACAGTGTGAGCCCCTGTGGAGACCTGCTGCTCAGAAAAAAGGATTCTTCCCTAACCTTCCTGCTAGAGACAAGGCGCCTGGTCACCAGGGGCGCTGGGGGAGACGGGCCAGATGAATGTTGTTTTCATGCCTTTCTGCAGCTCTTGGGTCAAGGACTAACTCTGACTCCCAAGTCTCACTGGGAAGAAAAACCACGTTTGTAAGCAATCGCTGCCGCCGTGGTTCCTGATGGATCGGGGAGAATAAATGGAAAAGGTCTCCCCGTCCCAGCTGCCGCTGAGGCCCTGAGGGACTCCTGGGAGGCAGTCACAGGCGTCTGGGAGAAGCTGATCCACCCTCGTGGCCGATCTGAGGGCTCCAGACCTCCGAGAGGAAGTGCCTGCACGTGTGGTGGGAGCAGCAGCAGGAGCATGACGTGGAGCCTGAGGACGCGCTGAATCGCTGCAAACTCAGGACAGAGCTTGAGTGATGAGGAGGAGCTTGCAGAGGAGCAGAGAGAGGGGTTTCGGGAGACGGAGCCCACCCTGTGACGAGGCTGTGAGGACGGTGAGATGGCGACAGATGATTCAAAGCGTCAGGTGAGCGTGGCTGGCAGACCAGTGCCGGGTTTGAGGACAGGCTGCAGTTCTGAAAGAGGTTTGTGGGTGATGCTGCAGCCGCAGGGAGGCTGTGCTGAGGAGTCGGCCATGCGGAGAACGTCACTGCTGTCTTACTCTGAGAAGCCGCCACCGCCCCAGCCTTGTAACCACCTCACAGTCAGCCGCCATCACCGCCACACAAGACCCTTCAGCACAGAGATGGCGGCTTGCTCAGATGATGGCTAACTCTGATGAAGGATTTTTAATTAAGGGACGCACCGTGGTTGCTAGACGCACGCTATCACACACTTAGTAGACTACGGTGTGAGGCGAACCGTCCTTGTGGGCACTGGGACCAGGGCATTCACGTGATCACTTCATGGCGACCCCATGTGTGTGGGTCTGGACCTCGACCCGTGTCCCCCAGGTGCGCCTGTGTACTTCCTGCAGAGGCTCAGTGCACGTGACTCACTTTAAAACAAGGGAGATGAGTAACCCTGACGGAGCTGAGAAGTCCACGTGCAGAAAGGGCATGCGTTCTGCTGTTCCCACGGACCTCAGAGGCACCGACTGCACTGAGTGGGAGTCAACCCCACTGGCTTCCAGCATCACTTCATCCTTTTACCTTTAAAACGAACTCACATTGACCAGCAGCAGCTGGGCCGTTGGCTGGGGTGCTGCGCTCATGCTGAAATCTGACATCTGCGTGCGGCGACCAACCATGTTGGCAAAGCAGCTGATGCCGCATGAGACGCCACGAGACCGACTCCAGCCCACGCCCCGGGGAGCACGGAGAGCAAGGGGCCGGATGGCCTGCCTCTCCACCTCCGGGCACTGTCCGGGGAAGACCCCCAAGGCAGTCAGCAAGTCAGAGACGGCCACCCAGATGGACGGACAGATGGACAGAGCCCAGTGTGCAAGATCTGAGGTGAGAGAAGGGACCACGGCCACAGGCGCACGTCCGGGCCCAGCACCAGCAAGGGAACCAGCCACCACCTGTGGCCTCGGAGAAAGCCCTGAGCATCACCAGACCCGGGCCTGGTCCAGACACACCTTGTGGCCACAGTCCGATGACAAGGACACACAGTCCCAACGTCTCTCCCTTTGGCGCCACATGGAGCTGACGGCCGCGCCCGGCCTCCACCTCCTGGACCTCGGCCATTCGCTCCTCCTGACAGGAGCTGAGGACGCCCTTCCAGGCAGAGAAGGAGGAGGCGGGGCCGGAGGCCTGTCAAAGCCATGGTGGCGAGCTGCACCCGGAGGCCCTGGGACAAGCTCACGTGTGGAATGAGCAGGCTGGGCCCTGCACCAGGTGGAAGCCGCGCGGGAAGCACAAGAGCAGGTGGCGCCCTCACGGACAGCTGGCCAAGCGCAGACCAAGCAGGCGCCCAAGCAGAGGATCTGGGACAGAGAAGCCCGGCCCCTAGACACGCAGCGAGCCCACCCTCGGGACGTCCACGCAGACGACATGCTTGGGGACAACCACCTCAAGCCAGGCTCCCGGGCGACACGAGGGGGAAGGCTGAGGGGTGGGGAGGCCTCAGCCTGAGGCACGAGCGCCTCTCCTCCCCTCTGTCCAAGGACACAGCGGCACGCAGCGGGGCGAGCACCCCCCCTTCTTCCCTAGAAGTGTCCCTGAGCACCTGTCACTCTCCCCACGGGGCTCCCTGGGCAGCAGCCAGGCCAAGCCTCAGAGACCCTGCAAGGACACGAAATGACACGTGGTCAGGCAGGCTCTGCAGGTCTGCAGACAGGAGGCCGAGGGCCCCCCCAGCAGCAGGAGGCCCGGCCCCGAGCTGCAGCCACCACGTGGCCAGTGGAGCCGACGCTCAGCAACACGGCAACACGAGGCGTTCTGAAGGCGCGGGAGGGGACAGGGCGGCTCTCGAACCCGGCCGTGTCCTCCACCAGCACGCGCTCGGGTCCACCGGGGCCACAGGAGACACAGCAAACACAAGCCTTCCTCTGCCCCCAAAGGCCTGGCCAAGCTGAGGCCCCCGGCCGGGCTCCCCACCCCCTCCAGGCCTCCCGGGCTCACCCTGGCCACATGTGGAAGAGGTGCCCCATGGGGTGGCTGAGGCGACTCTGCAGAGAAAGCTCACCAAGGCCAGGCCTTCAGTTGGAACGGCCTGCACGGCCAGGGCCCCCAAGCCCCGGGTGTGACAGCCAGACCCACCCCACCACACCTCACTGCACCTTAAAGAACCTTCTGGCCCTGGCTGATTTAGCTCAATGGATAGAGCCTCAGCCTGCGGACTGAAGGGTCCCGGGTTTGATTCCTGGTCAGGGCACATGCCTGGGTTGCAGGCTCGATCCCCAGTGGGGCGCGTGCAGAAGGCAGTCACTCAATGATTCTCTCTCATCATTGATGTTTCTATCTGTCCCTCTCTCTTCCTCTCTAAAATCAATAAAATATATATTTTTTTTAAAAAAAGAACCTTCTGGCCCTGGCTGGTGTGGCGCAGTGGATAGAGCATCAGAGTTCAATTCCTGGTCAGGGCAGATGCCCAGGATGTGGGCTCAATCCCCAGTAGGGGGCAGGGGCGTGCAGGAAGCAGCCAATCAATGATTCTCTCTCATCATTGATGTTTCTCTCACTCTCCCTTCCTCTCTGAAATCAATAAGATATTAAGATAATTTTTTTAAAAAACCTTCTGTTTGACAGCTGATGAGGCAAAGCAAAGAGTGGGCTGCGGTCACCACCATCCACCCCAGATCACATGCTGCGGACACCAGCGTTCCTCCCAGGCGACCTGCGGCCCCCAAAGCAGAACAACATGGGATCAAACAAGGGGCCAGCTCCGCGGGGGGGGGGGGGGCAACTGCCTCAGTCTGGCGAGCGGTGGGGCAAGCCCATCACCTCGTCCGCACATCGTGACTTTCACTCTCAGCTAGAGAACTGCATGTTGTGTGTGTGTTTCAACCTTTCGATAAAACCAGCACGTAAGATCCCAACCGCCCTGCTGTGCCCAGCCCAGCCCGAGACGCCATGGCGCAGGAAGCAGGCCCGGGCGCCAGGCACAGGCACAGGCCGCCGCTCTCCCGGGCTGGGCTTCCTCCCTGCAGCGGGACGGCCAGGAGAACCAGCAGGAAGGGGGAGGGAGGGTGGGAGGACGCGGAGGGACAGGGTTAGCACCCCGTCTCCTGGCTGTCAGGTGGTGCACACGGGTCCTGTCAGGCCCGGTCCTGCGCCTGCTGAGGACGCGATCGGAATCTGTGCAGGTGCAGGGCGTCCTCCGGATGCGAGAGGCGATCTGAGCCACGACTGACTCTAAGGCTCACACCTGTCCCCGGGGAGGCGGTCCCTCCCGCGCGCCGGGCTGACAGGGGGCCGGGCTCCACGTGCTGGTGTTAGTGTTGGAGGTGGTTAAGCTGGTGCTTCCAATGACATCCACGAATCATGTGAGATCAAGACGCAGCCATCGCCCTGCGTTCCAGAGCGACCACGTGGCCGAACTCCATCGAGTTGAGCAAGAGAAAACAATGAGGATCCCAAGAGGGAGCTACCCAGCGTGTTAGTAGTTAAATGAGAGCCTGGAAAACAGTGAAAAGGCCACCTAGTCTGACTGAAGACATCAACAGACCAGCCGCTGCCCTGAACGGCCAAGGACACGAAGAGTCCCTCTAACCTCTGTCCCTCACGCACCGCCCCCCCCCCCCCCCCACGTGCACACAGGAATCGCGGCAGGAACCTCAGGAGGAGAGACAAGCAGCACAGAAGTCCCGCCGGGGTCGCTGTTGGACAAGCCCGTGGCCACGGGAGAGGAGCCAGCAGAGCAGAGCTCTGTGGACCGCAGAGCCGAGGCAGGTGTGCTAACCTCCTGGAGGCAAGAGCAGCCCACGCCCCCAGCGGCGGCTCCCACGGAGCCCACGGGCGGTGTCCTGAGTGGACACGTCGGCTGTGCTCTAACTTGCGTCCTGGAATGAACGCGTCCGTTTGTTTCTAACTTGGAGACCCTGCAGCGCAGTGGGACCCTGACTCCCTACCAGGCAGGCCGGGCGCGCCGATGGGTGTGGGGATGAGCAGAGGACAGGGCATTTCCTGTCCCGACGGCGAAGGCTGCAAGCTTGGAGCCAGAGACCCAGGAGCCGCAGCCCGAGTGGGTGAGGCCCGAAATGGACGGGTGGGCACCGCTGGCCGGCACTCCGCCCACGAGCAACTGAGGCTCCCGGGCCGCACAAGAGCTAAGGCCTCGTCGCACGTCCACGGACTGCGGACACTCTAGAACAGGGGTGGGCAAACTTTTTGCCTCGAGGGCCACAATGGGTTCTTAAACTGGACTGGAGGGCCGGAACAAAAGCATGGATGGAGTGTTTGTGTGAACTAATATAAGTTCAAAGTAAACATCATTACATAAAAGGGTACGGTCTTTTTTTTTTTAGTTTTATTCATTTCAAACATCCGGCCCGCGGGCCGTAGAGTAAGAAAGCAGAGACCTGCGTTTCAGTCAGGGCCAGGGCACAGACTCCTCCACGCCACGGTCACCTGTGCAAAACCCTCCCCTCAGACGGGGAAAGCGGGAGAGGGACATCCGGTGACCAAGTGCAAGCGCCCTGCGCGCCACGAACGCCGGCTGGTGGACCCTTGCCAACGGCTCCAGCCAGACCCAACAGGTCAGTGAGGCCAACACAGGGCTGGCTGGCCTTCTGGTCACCAGCTTCTCAGTGGGTGCTGGGCCAGCAGTGCCCGGCACGTGCGCTGCAGTTGGGTGGCGGGCAGAGGGTGTGGCGTGGGATAGGCGCCCCAGACCCGGGAGCCAAAGGCAGGGCCTGGCGCCCGGAGCCACGACACACAGTGACTGCCCCCCGACTGCCCCTCCGAGCACGTCTCAGAGCACTTGCAAACAAGCGGCCCGAGGGCCCAAGAAAGGCCAGGGCGGGGGGGGGGGGGGTCCCCACGCACTGAAGCGAGTGTCCATCCTTCACCTGTGTCTGTGAGACGCTGAGGAGCTCGTGTGGCTCAGACACGCGATGGTTTTAACAAATTACTAAAGAATCCAACTTGGTATCAGTCCATGAAAAGAGAGGCCACGGGTGAGAATGTCTATGAAACAAAGGGCACGTGTGAGAGTTCCCTGCGTTTCAATGACGTTCATAAGAAGTTACTTCGGTAGCAAGAATGACTGTCTGCCGAATGCAGAACCAGCACCAGAAACACCTGCTGGACCACCTCTTCCCTCCACCCCCCGACCGGCCCCACCGGGAGGCTCGGGACGCAGATGACTCGCCCCCATCCGGCCTCTGCTCCTCCAGCTGAACTGAGAAGGTGCCCTGACAGCAGGACAGCCAAGAGACGGTGTCTGGACGCACCAAACACAGACCAGGCTCTGGTCGAAGACAGAACCCACGGGACAAGCATGTCCACACACCTCCCGAAGGAGGCGTCAGACACAGAACCGGCGCCTCCCAGAGGCACGGCCATCGTGGAGCCACGAGGGGACAACAGTCCCGCCAGTTTCGGTGACACACACTCGGCTGCAGTCGCGGGGGAGGCACAGGCTGCAGAAGAGCTCCGGCGCCTCCTTCCAGCCCCCTGCGCCCAGACATGCAAATGAGCCCCTCCGGCTCTCCCTCCGGCTCTCCCGCAGTGCACAGTCCGAGGGAGGAGCAGGACCGCCCACCCAGGCCCACGGGGCCAGCAGCCACCCCGCAATGCACCCTCAGACCTACAGTTAGGGGTTTTCAAAGAAAAATGCGCCATCTGTCTTCCCATCTGGAAATTAAGAGAACTGTGGACAGTAAAGTGAAATACGTGCACCCACGACTGTGCCCTCTGACCCCGGAGAAGAGAAGGGCCGGCGAGGCCCGCAGCATTTACCTGTGTCCAGGCGCTTTCCCGGGGACCCCGCCTCCACCTCGGAGTCGCCGCAGGTGCTTCGCGACCTTTTTCTTGGCTGCAGAAGAGTCTCCAACCTCGGAAGGACTACAGACAGAAAGGTTTTGGTCCCTAGCTGAGGAGAAGCTGGCGGGGTCTCAGTGTTCTTGGCAGACTTTGGGGGGCTTACACTGTTCGATTTGCAGAAGAGAACAGAAGGGCGTCTGTTTACATCGCTTGCTGGCTCCGCCCCCGCGGAGGCCGCCGCCGGCGCAGCGCCACTACAGGCGAGGGTGGGCTCTGCAGGGTGTCCGATTACCAGGGCGCTCTGAGTGCAAGTGCTATGTGATTCATTATCAAATGTGACTCTTTTGAATAGTTTACTCTGCTCTGGGTTGAGTTCTACTGGTTTGAGGGTTGGTGGTTCTGAATTAGTCTCCGAGTTTGAAGGAAGAGGTAATGCATCTGATGGTTCAAGTTTAGGGGGAGATTTATCTCCTGAAAAAATTATAAATAAAGTGATTTTTGAAAACTGGTAATTATAAAATCTATTATAAAACTTACTATAAATGTGAAGTCCACCAAAATACTACTTCAATTAAGGAAACAAAGCATCACACACAACTACCTGCGGGCAGTGAGGGCTGTGGGGTCCCAGCAGGGGGCTCCCCACCCCACAGGCGGGGTGCCCTGGCCTCTGGAAACACCCGGGAGAGGACTTCACATTCGCCAACATTAAGCACATCATTGGGGTGCACGCCGGCAGCTGCAGCCACAGCTCACTCACCTTGAGAAGAGAAAGCGCACCCAGCTAAGGCCCAACACTCACCCCCACTGCTGACCAGGCTTCCCGCACAGGGGAGCCGACACTCACCCCCACTGCTGACCAGGCTTCCCTAGTCGGCACCACAGCAGGCAGTGCCAAGGGCTGTGAGTGATTTAAAACAGGAGAAACCTCCCACTCAGGTCTCAGCACACACCTCACTCCTATGCCAGCCACACCTGGAAATGCTAGTGTAACTCCTTTCAATCTGACTTTAAAAATAAATACAACCTTTGGAAGAGACAATTTTAACTGAGGCTTCAGCGTTTCCACATGGAACAAGCGGTCTGAAAACCAGCTCAGCCCTGGAGGCTGCCCGCGGACTGGCCTGGCACTACCTGCGAGGCCACACCCACTGGGGTGAGCGCGTGGCCTACAGCCCCGAGGAGCTACTGAAATGACCCCAAGTGGCATTTGGTATCTAGACACACTTCTTCCTGTAGTGACCCCGGAAGTCCTCCGAGCCCCTTGAAAGATGTCAAGGTAACACTTTAACCCCGAGTTCATCTTGAGAAGGAAAAGCTGAAAAGCTGCCACCGTGTAGGGCCCACGTGACCTGAGCCCGCGCTGAACTCAGGCTGCAGGGCTCCACGCTTGCTAGAGCGCCCGCCTCACGGACTCCAACACCCAGGGCAGAGGCCTCCCACCGAGGGCGGCCAGGGGACACCACCCCCTCGTGCGTCAGGCTCTGGGACGGGCACATACTCCCGCCCTGGACACCGGACACCCACAAGCAGGATGCGGCATCGAGAGCCACAGCGACACGTTGGCTGGTGACACAACCCTTCCCACCGCTGCTTGAAGTCACACACACGTGCAAGGAAACAGCTTACAACACACAAAGGCACCGTGTGGACGGACAGGGGCCTGCGGAGTTCCTGCTGAAAACCTCTGCGAAGGCACGCCACAGGCGGAGCTCGCTGCGCCCTCCTCCCGTCCCCAGCACACCCTCCGCTGACGTCCTGCCTCCTGTCCTCCCTCCGGCCTGACCCTCGAGCCCCCACATCAGCACTCGTCCTGACCATGATGCCTAAAGGGCCGCCTCCGTGCCAGCAAGGCTGCCTCCACCTGGGCGGGTGGGTGCGGCCCCCGCCTGCCCCTCTGCTGCCCCTCCCTGCTGGGCTCCCCCACTGCACAGCCAGGCCCTCACAACCACCTCCAGCCCACCCCCGACTCAGACGCTAACCTCGGCCCCACCAGGCGCCCTTGTTCCTGCCACACACGAGGCCCCGGACCACCATGGCCCACCCCTCTGCTCCTCTCACGCTCAGTCCACAGGGCTGCTCTCGCTGTCACGGAGACCTGCACCAGACGCAGGGAACCTCAGCAGCAGGCCTCCCGGCCCCTCCTTCCAGCCCTGTGCTCACCCACTGTCGCTGTTCTGCAGCCACGGGGCGCCCACCACCAGGGCAACTCACAGGAAGATTTCCAAGGGGCAGCGCGTGAAGGACCAGGCGTGGGGCCACGCAGACCCAGGTGCCTGGTGAACCCCTTGGCTGCACCGCCACGCCTGTCAGCCAGTCCCCGCCCCCCCGCCCTCCAGGAGAGCAGGTGCCCTGCAGGACCGTGCGGAAACGTGACTGGATGCTAACACACAAGTAAGGAAGCTCTTTTAAAAAGCCCTTACAGACACGACAGGGCCCTCGCCTGCCCTCGCCTGCCCTCGCCCTCGCCCACAGCCGTCATAAAGCAGAACCCAGCCAGGGCATGCTGCCGGCTGCACTGAACAGGCAGGCCCCAGGACAGGGGACGGCTCAGCCTGGAACACGGCAGGGCTCAAGGAATGGGCTCAAACCCCCACAACCTACAGCAAAAGCCCATCGAGACTCGGCGACAACGCCCTCCCCCTGCCAACCCCTCACTGTTCTCCCAGAGCCACCCGTTTCTCCGGCCCGGCAGCCAGCTGAACGCACGCTCCATGTGCAAGCAAAGCACAGGCCTCTAAGTGCTGGCTGCGTGCAGGCCTCCCCCGGTGACGGGGTGCTGTGACAGCCGCCTCCAGCTCTCACTGAGCCTCACAGTCCCCTCGGAAAATAGCCCCGAACTGGGCAGCAGACAGACTAGGGGCCGAGGCGCACACAGCCGCAGGAGCGCTGGCTCCAAACTGCGGCGTGAGCAGCAGGGACAGGCCTGCCGCTGTCTCGTCACCTCCAGGCCTCAATCAGAGGAAGGTCCCCGGGGACCCCGAGCCAGCAGATCTCCCTCCCTAGCCTGGTGGGTGCAGCCCCCACCTCAATGGGCCTGACACCCACCCATCACTTCCCTGTTCTTCAAGAGGAAACCACGTAAACACTAAGTCACAACCGAGACAGTTCTTGATATTAAGGAGTTCCTACTACTTTAGGTGTCATAATAATGCTCTGAGTCTTTGTGTTTAAAAGACTGTTTGAGAAGATTCTTGGGTTTGTGCATCCTAAGTCTCCCAGGTTCACATTTCTAGAGTAACATCAACGGCTGGTTCGTCTGTCTCCACGCACAGCCGCCTGGGAACCTCTGGAGCTCCCTGCTCCCTATGGTGGGCCCCCTGGAAGCTGCTTTCTCTCCACCTTCCTTTCCCATCAGCTGAAAGCCACATGCTCTCTCCCTGTACATGGGGCAGGCACGTTACCGGCAGCTCCAGGCTGTCTTTCATCTCTGATCTGGGTTTGTGTGCTTCCTTTAAATTGACCCCAGCGCCAGAGTAGCAAAGGGACCAGCCTGACTGAGGGGGTCCAGCCTGGCGGGCGAGGTGCCCGCTGCTCCTGGGCGGGCCCAATGCAGGGAGGGAGCCCTGGACGCAGGAACAGAAGGGTCACAGGCCTCTCCGCTGGGAAGAGCAGGTGCTCAGAGCAGCCATTCCAGTGATGGCGCGTCACTTGGTGACAAGCTTTCTCCCTCCCTCACTCTTTTCAAGACAACACACAAGGAGTGGTTTTCTAAGAGGCAGATACCAGGGCAGAGCAGCCGCTCCGGCGGCAAGAGGGGGCTGGCTGGGAGGGCAGTGGTGCCCTACACTGACCGCCCCCCCCCAGGTCCTGCCATGTCTCAGGGCACCCATCCCCCAAGGGTGCACAGGCCTGATGAGGGGAGGCCACCCTGGACCCCAAGGACCCTCAACAGGGGGTCAGCCTGAGACCCCAAGTACATCTGGCTGCCAGAGGCCCCTGGAACAAGTGTACCGGAGCCCGACCCTCCAGCAGAGAGAGCGCGGAGAACGGAAGCTCCGCTCGCTTCTGGAACCCACGGCAATTCACATCCCCGAGGAGCGTGCCAGGCCTGCACCTTACGCTACGGACCTAAACCAACCAACCGCACACTGAGAACCAGGCATCAAAGGAGAAAGGCAGCAGAACCACCCCTGGCTGGAGGCACAGGAGGCATTTGCTAAGGGAACTGCTGGAGGACACGGGAGCTGTGACCCACGGGACCAGGTGAAACTCAGAGGAACTACAGACACAGCCAGCACTTCCTGGGGCCACAGATGACACAACACAAGACACACGCGTGGCCGTGACCAGGACCCTGCAGACCGCCAACAGCAGGCCAAGGCTTTTTAAAGCAGCTGCAGAACAATGTGTGTGTGGCTTTTTCAACACTCAGAAAGGTTATAACCGACTGCTGCTGGGGAGAGTCTCAGTCCGCTTTCCATTTTGTGTGACTGACCCGCTTCCCCTGAAACTAGGAGAGAGCAAGAGGGGAGGGTTTCCTGCAAGTCCCCCCGCTCACCGCCTGGACCAGCCGCCCCGACTGCTCCCTCGGCACCGTGCCCGCTTCCCCATTGGGGGGCAGGGTCTGCGCCACCCTGTGTTCTGGTCCACAGAAACATGCCTGCTGCCCGGTCTGCTCGCAATGCACCCCCCTCTCCACGCTCTGCTCGGGGAGTGCCATGCTGCCGAGGCAGGGCTGGCTCTGGGGGCCCTCAGGTACTGGAGGGCCCTGCCTGCCCCCATGACTGGCGCCCACCCTGCCTGCCCACCCTCCAAAGGTCAAAGAGGTGCATGTACGGGAGGGCACTTTAGAGCAACCTGTCACAGCGCCTCTCATCACCCCGTGCCCGTTAATTGGCGCTCCCTCCTCAGACAGAACATGACAGCAGTGCCGCCACGCCTGTGGCACGCCACCCTCCTCTCCCACCACGCAGGATGCTGCGTGAGACCTAAGCCGTGCTTTTTGGACGGCTTTTCAGGACCCAGTTGGGAAGGACAGTCTTACTCTGCCTTGCACTCGGGACCATCTCAGTGCCAGAGCACACACCGCGGCAGGGCGGCACGGGCACCAGAAGCCAGGGCAGGGGGGCGGGTCAGGTGACCCTGGGCCGGGAAGACGGCCGGGAGGCAGCGCTGCTTACCTTCCTCCCCGGCTCCGGCCCAGCGAGCACCTTCCTCTTCCAAGCCTCCAGTACCTGACCCGGCGGGCGGGGCTGGTCTGCTGTGGTCACTTGTTCCGCACGAGCGCGATTTCTTCTTCAGGAGCTTGGCGTTGCTCTCGACCCGCTGACTTCTGGACTTCATGGCGCACGTGAGGTCCAGCTTGTCCAGCAGCTCCCTCAGCTGCTCCTCCAGGCCCATGTGGGCCCTGTTGGCCGGGTTCAGTAACCTGTCCACTGAGTCACAGAAACACACGTCCATTAGCCGTCACCCGTGGTGCCACTGAGCGAACACCCTTCCACCTCCACGCCCCAACGTCACCCTGGACCACGCCCCTTGCTCAGCCACGTGACGGCCCTCACCCACGCTCTAAACCCACGACAGGGGCTGCCACAGGGACAGACAGGGGCTGCCACAGGGACAGACAGGGGCTGCCACAGGGACAGACAGGGGCTGCCACAGGGACAGACAGGGGCTGCCACAGGGACAGACAGGGGCTGCCACAGGGACAGACAGGGGCTGCCACAGGGACAGACAGGGGCTGCCACAGGGACAGACAGGGGCTGCCACAGGGGACGTGCTTGCCACCCGAGGGGGTGCGCGGGCGTGGGAGACGCAGGTGCAGACGCAGGACCACCAAGCCTCTGGTGAGGGCGGCCAGCACTGAGCCCTGCTGACTCAGCCCCTGGACTGAGACTAGAGACGGCTGTGCGGCCGGGCAGGCCCACCACCTGCTGAGCTTCCCCCTGAGCAGGACTCTCCCCTTCCTCGTGCCAGGGCCACGGTGGGGCTGCTGTGCATAACTGACCTCGAGCTCGAGTCCAGACCCAGGGATGACGCTGGGCTGCACGTCTCACAGGTAAGGCTGAGCCTCAGGCTTCTGTACTACAGAAACCCCCAAAATCTACAAGGCACCAGTCACCTTAGACAAGTGAGGCCACCAAGGAGAAGCCGACTCTAGTGCCACCTGGTGGAGCGGGAGCCCCTCCCAGCAACAGATGCAGCTGAGACTGCACATAGCAGCCTGGCTCGAACCCCTATCATCACTCACAAAGCCTCATGGGCATTAAACTCAGAAACATTCACATGAGCAGAGACCATGTCATCTGAAGCCCAAAGGAGAACTCCTCAGTTCGTCTTGCAGATCCTTCAAGCAGAGCAGGGACAGCTGCCCACCTGCAGCCGGACACGGCCCCGCCCAGCAGAGGGGCCCACAGCGCCCACCAGACGGAACGGGAGGGAGGACACACTGGGTGCACCAGCTCACCTTGGACCCCCGCCCTGACACCAAGGAAGAGATGCCGTAGGACTTCTCATGCTTGATTTTATGCCTAGAATTTACTTAGGCAACATCATGGCAACGTGCACGGCCATTTTCTGAAGGGCCCAACACTGAGGCCCCCGGACCCCTTCTTGCTCCAGGAAGTTGGGTGGCGGCCAATGTGTGGTGGCCGGAGCCTGGGGGCGGAGGGCAGCCCAGCCTCTGAGGACAGAAACAGCACAGGCAGCTCTGCCGTGTCTCGCACAGAGGGAGGCGGCCTGAGTCCTGAGGCCCTTAATGCAGCGCAAACCGGGAGGGGGAGTGGGAGGGGGAGGGGGCGGAAGCCAGCAGAGACCGGATGCGTGTGCTGGTTTCTGGGCCCTTTCAGCAGCTAACAGACCCAGCCTGGGCGCAAGGCCCCAGTAAGCTGCTCCCAGGGCTGCGTCAGCTGGGCCGGGGCTGTCCCATACGGGCCCCGCCACATGAGTCTCTCACGTGGGCACCTAAACGTGGCTGGTCTGAATGAAGAGAGGGGCTGTGACGGTGGCAGAGGGAGGAGGCGGCAAATGGCAACTATCCCCAGTGGCTTCTATAGTGACTGCGTGTCAAATCCTCAATACGCCGGGCGTGCTGGGTCCGAGGGACACTACGGAAATAAGCCGCCTTCCTTCCCTTTCTTCGTGCGGCTCCTAGAGAGCCTAGAGCGCGTGGGGCTCGCATCCCAGGCCTGCTGGGCGGAGCCGGCCAGGCTACAGGTGGCTCTCCCGGCACCCGACCCGGACCCGGGCTTACCGTCCTCCCAGGAGAAAGGCCGCCGAGGGGCCGCAGCAGGCCGCTCCGGCAGGTGCACCCCCGAGGCCGCCTCGAATCCAATGCTGTCCACCTGGCGCCGGGCCTGCCGCAGCACAACGCCGCCCTGGTCGCGCAGCCGCACGGCGGCTCGGTAGAACACCGTGTCCTTGGCGTTGTACCGCATGCAGTTGTCCACAATGAGGTCGAAGTCCTCCTCAAACTCGGGGAGGCTGCTGTACCCTTGCGCCTCCAGCCGCTTCCTCATGGTGGAGAAGTCCATGGGCTGCTTGATGTGCTCCAGGTAGTCGGGCACCTGATCGCAGGAGGCACAGCACTTACACGCGGAAAGGTCGTTGCCACTCCAGAGAATTCACACGCCCACACGGAATCTCACGCGCACGCACATGCAACACGACACGCCTGAATGCACACACAGCACACAGGACTCACAGGAGCGCACGGCAACACTGAGACATGGCACTCGCACCCCCTCCCACGGGCTCTGCTGACTCAGCTCCTTCGCTGAAACCAGAGCCACGACGCCCCCGCTGGGCAGACCCCCACCTGCTGGGGTTCTCAGCAAGAACGTCCCCACCGCGTCGCTAAGACTTTACAGTGAAACGGGCGCCTTCATAGCGTAAGGACTCGGTGAGAAGAGGGAGGACTCAGGAACACAGGTGGCGGCGTCCTGCGGTCAGTGTGGACGGGGCGGGGCGAGCGGTCAGCACACCCACCTCCTTCAGGCTCACCGGCTGGGCGAATATGCGAGCCGGGTCCTTCTCCTGCAGCTGGTCCAGCACGGAGCGCAGCAGCACCGTGAGCGGGGTCAGCCGCAGCTCCAGGGCCATCTGCTCGACCTTCACCTGGAGGACAAGGGCGCTCAGCGCGGACACACACAGGTGACCTTCCTGTTGCAGAACTGCCCAGCGCTGACACTCGGTCCACAGCCAATACAAGTGCCTCATTTAAACCCTAACTCCTGGCGGCCTCGGTCAAGGCACCTCGCGAACGGTGCCACCCAAACACCCACCAGGTGCCGGCCAGGGTCCCGCCTTCCCTGGCCCCATGTGTCCCAAACACCACACTGGATGCCACCGTCGTCCTTCAAGGAGGCAATGTCCCCCTTCCATAAAGCTGCCCGCAACCCAGGGCACCGGGATGGCGGAGGGCCGGGCCCAAGGACCGCAGGCCCAGAAGCCCCCGCCCGGCGAAGCCCACGGCCCCGCGACGGGCCTCACCTGCTCCCGCTTGAGCTTCTCGCGCTTGCGCAGGAGCTCAATCAGCAGGCGTGCGCGCTCCAGGTCATGCCGCAGCCGCTGCCAGTACTTCAGCTTCTCTTTGGCGGCCTGAATCTCCTCGTCGTTCTCTCTCTGTGAAAATGAATCAAAGGCTGAAAGTCGGCCGCAGATGCCCAGGGAGGCAGCGGGGGCCCAGCCCCCCACAGCGCCGAGCAGCGCGGAGTCAGCGGGTGCAGGCTCCACCATGCGGGCACACCAGGGTCCCTACAGGTGGAGGGCAAGGGGCCTCTCAGGACCCAAAACGCTGAAGGGCCTGAGCCGAGAGCAGCCACTCGCCTTGACCTTGAGACGGGGCAGGGGTCCCACCTCCTGGACTCCGAGAATCAGCAGCAGCCGAGGAAAAACAAATACACAGAAAACACCCAGGCCGGACAGGTGGGCCTGTGCTCTGGACACGTCATTTATCCATCTCCATTCTACCTTTCAACACTGAAAAGATTGTACTGAAAAGTCAGAGAAACTGAGGAGGTGCCAGGACACACGAGGCCCACCCAATGCACCTCCAACAAAGCTGACCCGGTCCGACCCTGGCGGAGCCCTGACAGCCCAGCAGGACTGTCCCAGCGCAGAGAACACCACCAAAGGCGCTCCGTGTCCCGGCCCAGGCTGGGCCCAGCACTCCAACCTCCTGTCCTACCTCCCCTCCTCCCTGGGCTCCACACAGCCACCCCCATGCACTTCCTCACACTTCCTTGCCGGTCCCCCGGGTGTGCCCAGGGCCCTGGTCCTCACGCACGCTCACCATCCACTCTCACAGCAGCTGCCCATCCTCAGTTCCTCCTGGGCCCGCCTCCTCCTGCTGACTATTAACACAGCACCAGGGTCCACGTGTAGAGCTAGGCCCACCTCCCAGTGTCCTGTCTGCTGAAGGCCCGACCTCTGCCCAACCACAACCCAGAATGGACCCAGCACAGACAGCAAAGGAACTGCTGGGACAAGCCCTCGCCTCCCCCTGAAACCAGCATCTCCGGGCAGGCCCAGGCCCATGTGTGTGGCCCGCCATTATCCTGGTTCCATGGCTGATGAGAACCCAGGTCTGCACCCCACCTCCGTGTCCGACCCCCACAGCGCCTCGCTGCCCTGCGCCCATCCACCTGCAAAGGCCAGGGCCCTCCCACACATGGAGGCCGCGCAGGCTCTGGTCCCAACCGCCTGCTACACCTTTCGGTCAGCACATCCCAATGACGTGCCAGCTCCGGCCGGTGGTCCCATGGCCGAGAGCCCAGCACAGCCCTGACGGGAACACAAACTCCACTCCCAAGTGGAGGGACGAACACGCAGCACGTCAGCTAAGCAGGCATCTCCAACAACCTTCAGATCCCAGGGCTGAGGGTGGACCCCAGAGGCCCAGGCTCTCCGTGAGTGCAGGACGCCCACAGCAGGCACAGGAGAAACAGGCACGTGTCCAAAGCAGCCAGCAATCCCCATGCCAGACGGAGCAGGCAGCTGACCACTCGGCAGGCATGCCGCCCATCAGGACGCTCACAAAGCCCAGCCTGAGCTACGCGTGCGCCCAAGGTAGCCAAGACCTGGGTTAGGGAGCTGGACCCTGAGCCAGCATCTCCGCCCAGCAATCCTGGTGGTCCTGGCACCTGGCAGGCAATGCCTTCTGCAGAGGCCTGGCCCACCACGCACTCCGTCCCTCGCCATCGCCGAGACCACATGGGCCTGCACACAGCCTGGGCTGCAACTCAGATGGCACTGGACACCCACACCCGCCCTGAACTGCCGAGAGGAGAGACGGCCCAATCATCACTCCCTCAGGAGAGCGGAGTCCACGCAGCAGACCCCTCAAGCCCAAGACAGAGAAGGGTCAAGGCCCACCCATCTCAGAGGCCCAGAATCTTAAGTTTTCAAAATGTATAAAAAAAAAGACATTAGATCTAAATTTTAAAAAACTGAGCATTTAAATGTGTTAATACTTAAATTACCTGTCATCACCACAGAATTCAGAAAAGTTAAGATGAGGGACTCCCTAAGAATGACGTCGCTGTCCAGGCCAGGCAACATGGCGGTGAGGGACAGGCTCAGCCCAGGACACTGTGACTAAGACGACGGGACGGCACAGAGATGAAAAGCCACATTTCGAGACGTAAGGAGATGAAAAGGTCTTTGGCTGCATCCTTCTAGGCCCCTCCTGGGCGGCAGGCACTGTGGAGGGTGGTCACCTTGGAAGGTGGTCACCTGGGAGGGACAGGGGTTCTCGCTCGGTGTGAACAGCCCACCAGGAGTGGTGCCCAGCCCAAGAACACAGCAAAGGGAGCAAGGCGAGCAGAGGCCGAGACGGCCTGAGACACTCACCAGAGAACCCCAGTCTGCACCTGTGGATGGAGCCCTGTCCGGCCCGCCCAGAGCACCAGGTCCCACTGTGTCTAACCGTGTCCCCTTGCCTTGCTCAGCCCTAGCAACTCAGCAGCAAGAGGGACCGAGCAGAAAGCCGTTCAGACAATGGTGGTGCGGCGGACGCACAGGGCCCACTACCAACTCATCGGAGGGCAGCTCTCTGAGTGCCCAGGAGGGCAGGGGGGCAACGAGGGAACTCGGACCAGACTCCACTTTCCGCCGAGTGCTCCCAGCCTCTCGACCCAGGGAGGTGGCCAAGCCCAGAGGCCAACCAGACACCCTCCTACGAGGCTGGCCACCCCTCACAGCATAGTGAACAGACACCAGCCAAAGACTAGGGCAATGAGCAGGTGACCATTTGTGTTTTCAAATCCTAAGAGCCCATGTCTGACTTTCTAAATCCATATTTTCAGAACTGCTGTGAAATGCCACATGGCTCTACAAGCCCAGATTAAGTCCTCAAGTGTAAGAGCTTGTCTGGTGTGTTTTTAGTGCTTCACGGACCTGGTGTCTCCTCGCACAGGGCCATGCTAACCTTCTCTGTATCCTTCCAATTTAGCAAGCACAGGTTTTGTTCTTTTAAAAAGCAAAAACCACCCTAGCTGGTTTGGCTCAGTGGATAGAGCGTCGGCCTGTGGACTGAAGGGTCCCAGATTCGATTCCAGTCGGGGGCGCGTGCCCGGTATGGCTCAGTGGTAGAGGGTTGGCCTGAGCACCAGAGTCTCAGATTCGATTCCCAGTCAAGATCAGACACCTGGGTTATAGATTCAATCCCTGCCCCAGTCAGGGCGTGTGGACACAACTGATCAGTGTGTGTGTGTCTCCATCCCTTCCACTCTCTCTAAAAGTCAATGGGGACATATCCTCAGGTGAGGATTAACAACAAAGAAAGCAACATCGCTCTCACTCAGCTCAGCTCTTGCCTGCTGCCCTCCCAGTGCAGTCAATGCTAAACCAGCCTGCAGAGAAACGCCCTTTAGTAAGTCCCTCTCACACATTTCCAAAACACACACCCACCCACCCCCATGGAGCCCGGGCCTCACCTGCGGCTGCTCCCTCCCCCAGGCCCACCCCACGTGATCAGCAGTGAGGCTTCCCCTGCCCCAGACATTCCACACGTGTGCAGAGGGAGGGGAGGAAGCAGAAGCCACGGGCGGGAACATCCGGGGACACGATGGATGAGAGTTGCCTGCACAACCCACAGCCTAGCAGGCGGGACATGTGAGGCCTCCATCGGCTCCCAGGACCAGACCACACTGGGCCCGACCAACGAGAGGCCGGAGCCCGAGGAGAGAGGCCGAGGGGTGAGCGGCACGTACCTGCTGCGTGCTCCTCTGGGACTGCAGGCTGGACTGGAGCCGCCTGAGCAGGGGCGCGCCGTTCCGCGACAGCCTTTTGAGCAGCCAGTAGCTGTGGGCTCTCTCCACAAACTGCTTCTTCCGCTGAATGGCCACCTGATTCGCGATCCTATTTAATCTAAAACACAAAAAACTCAAGAGTTCAGTGTTAAAGCAGCACATCAGCATGCTTTCCTCGTGGAGACTGGAAACGACAGTGTTCCTTTCCATAAACCACACGTGTTCACACGTGTTTCTCCCTCATCCACGGCACATAAATGCTGCCTCTGCTGAACAGAGCCCACCCCCTCCTGCCGTCCACAGGCTTCATCCACTCTTAAGTCACTCTGTCTATCAGATTTAACACCTAAAAAGAAAGCAACGCTCTAAACATTCTTAATTCCTCCACCTGACGCTGTCCCCATGCACGCAGCTGCGGGCACATCTTGGGGAGCTCTGTCGGCTGGCACAGCAGGCACGGGTCCCTCGAGACCAGCTGGCTCTCGTGGAGGGTGGGCAAATGCGGGGCACCAGCCGCGCTCAGTCACCTCACAGAGAAGAAGAGCTGGGACAGACACTCGAGGGAGACGCAGGGGCAGGGCTGGAGACAGGAGCAAAGGAGCTACTGCTGGCTGGAATGGCACTGGCATCTCTAGTCTCCCGGGAGACCCCTTCCTATAAAGTGCAAGGGCTTTGTGAAATGGGGGGGAGGGGGGAGGGGTGTGAATGATCCTTCAACAACCCTTCACGTTACCGGAAAGCTGCCTTTCCCAGTTACCACTCTCCTGCTGAAACAAAGAGCAACTCATCAACTTGCCTCACAAGGACACTGAGAGATAAGCTCCATCTAAACTAAAACAGAAAGCCACAAAATGCAACAAGAAGGCATTCCTCACTGCACATCACAATCACAATGTCTGGACAGCAATCAAAGACTTTTAAGACCAAACTTTTTAAAGAATGCAAACCGAAAGTCTTACAAAATAACCAAAGAACAAAACTGAGCAGACCCCCAGCTCGACCACGTCCGGCCATTAGGGTCTGCCCTTAAACACAATGGCTCAGTGCGTTTCCAAGACCGCTGGCTGGCCTCCGGCCGGGTTCTGAAGGGCAAGCATCGCTCAGGGCTGCTCTCGGCAGGCCATTCGAGACCCAAGGCCACCTGCTGTGGCGGGACACAGCTCCCGTCCTTTGGAGGGGCCTGACCCTGGGGTTTGGCAGAAGGGGCCCTGTCGCATCAAACCCCGAGAAGGCGCCAGGAGCCTCTGCCTCTACGGGCAGATCGGAGCCCAAGCTCGTGTGTCCACAGCAGGCCCTTGACCAAGGGCCCACAGGCCTGCACACTGGAGGACACCTGGTCGCACGGCCTCAGCAGGAGGTGAAGACAGGAGGCGCTGCGAACCCAGGCTCTGCCTGCAGCCCACGTGCCTGGGGCTGGGGCTGGGGCTGGGCTGGTCCTGGACACGTCACAGGTGCCTTTCTGGGTGGAGTTTTGATTTTGCCATTTTTGACGGAGTTATCAGGGAGGTGCAGTGACGTGCGTGCCAGTAAATCTTAGCACGTGCAGCTCCGTGGGTCTCTGCCCACACAGACAGGCATTCTAACACAGTCACACAGTTATGTCCACAGCCAGATAAAGCAAGGTGGATAAAAGTATTTTTTAACAATTTCAAGGCCCAAAGACATGCTGTTGGCAACAAGCTTACAAATAAAGATTCTGTCCCATGAAACAAGCCACTGACTCCTCAGGGTCAGGACTTGGGAGCCACCAGCCCCCAGGCGTGAGCAGGGCTCGGATGGAACAGACTCAGAGCTGTCCTCAGTCCTCACGTGCTTACAGAGCCTCTGCCTGCACCCAACAGCCTCCTCCCGGGCGTCACGGAGGAGCAGGGGGCTGAGCGCGAGGCGGCCCTGCAGACGCCCCCATGTGCTCCCGGAAGGACACAGAGCAGCTCGGGGAGCAGCTGTGCCAACAGTGAACACACCACCATGTCCCTCTGCACCCATCACCCACCCCAACCACCATTCGCCGCAGGTAGAGGGCACGGCACACGGGAAACCAACCACGGAAACGCCAGCCGAGGGACGGGGACGGACAGAATGGGGGCCACCCCTCCATAAACTCCAAAGGGAGAGAGACCAAGAGGGACCTTCAGAGGAGGAGGGGCTGCAAGGACCAGGGTTTTTAAAGGCGCAGTAAGCCCTGGTGATCGGAAAGGGGGGAGCAGGCGAGTCTCACAGGTGAGGGCAGCAGTGGTCCTGAGGGTGGGAAAAGGGCCCCCCAGGGGCTGGGGGCTGGCCAGGCCCTACCTTCTCAGGTGGATGGGGGTCAGGAGCATGTCTGCCTACAGCAACTCCCTAAGCCATGTGTTTACCAACTTCCTGGCTTTGTACTGTATTGTAGATTTTTTAGATGCAGTATTGGCAAGGGCCCATTGGAAGGATCAGAAGTTTGAATTTCTCAAGCCTCTGAGATCCCTTCCGCACAAGGGGTTTCCAATGAAAGGCGCGCAGGCGGAAGTGACCATACGGTTCGGGAGGGGGGGGGGGATTTTGGGGAAAAGCCCGTGGAGACCTGCCAGGAGGAGGCAGTGGCGGACGGACTCTCAGGCCAGGCTGCCCACTTAGCTTCTGGAGAAACTGCAGGTCAGTTGACAAAACATCAAGTTGTGATTTTGGTGTGTAACTTGGAAGGAAATTTTCAAAACTGAGCACATCACTGCTACAGCGAAACTGCGTTTACACAACCTACTTACACATGCGACCCAGGTTCCCAACACTCACGTCCACAAACACCAGGAGCAGAACTAAGGGAGACCCCACCTCGGCGCAGGCCCCCGCGGCTCGGCCGCCTCACGAGGAGACGCGCCCGTTACAGGTGGCTGCTGGCCCAGAAGCTTCAAGCCTGGAGTGTGTACAAGCAAGTGCGACCACCTGACTAGGAAGCAACCGCAACACGAAGTCCCGCGAGAGCGCAGACTGGCGTGGGGGCAGCAGTGGGCGGCCGAGCCCCAGCCTGAGTGGAGGACGCCTGGCACTGCCAGTTCCCCGGGACTCGCTGTCAGCAGTGATGTGCCTTTTAACACATACCCTCACTCGATGGCCCAGAAATTACACCTTCCCACTATCTGGGGTGGAAACACAGGACTTCAGCTAAAGAATGGGGACGGTGCAGCCGCTTTCACAACGACTTCGAGGGGTGCTACCCGGACGCCTCAGGAAGGCCGACGCAATGTGCTGGACATCCGGCTGACCAAGGGAGGGGAAACCTTGGAGCTCCAAGTACAGAGGTCACCGGGGTGCACATGTCCACGCCCCCGGCCAAGCCTCACCATCATCCAGACCCACCGAGGTGGCTGCCTGCAGTGGGGGTCTCCCCTCAGCTCACTAACCAAGAACTGAAGTTCCTGAGATCAGGAACTAGGCAGAGCCCAATTTTATTAGAAATCCCACCAGATGCTCACCTCTGTGAAGCAGCCTGACCTTGCCCAGCGCCCCGGAGCCCCCCTCCGTGGCCCTGCTGGGGTGGACCTCTGCAAACCAGCACCTCTTGGCCCACAACATCAGGAAAGGGGAAGGATCCGCTGGACAGAGGGCCGAGTGGACACTCGTTTGCAGCCCCCACAGGGAAGACGGCTCAGGCAAGAACAGACACAACTTCTGGGTGGGGAAGAGGAGCAGGGGGCCACATGGCCTCCCAAGGTCTCCCAGCCTCAGGTCGGAGGCCAGAAGAAACAAAGGCAGAAATCGTCCGAGATGCTGGGGACACCTTAGGCACCAAGTAGGGGACATCACCGCATCCAGACGGGGGCATGCCTGGCGCCCACCTGGCACCTGGACATATTGCCACTAGCAAGGCGGACACCACACCCGAGACGAGGCTGGCTCTACTAAAGGGGAAGGGTTGTCTTCTTTCAAAACAGAACATCTCAGCCCTGGCCAGTGTTGCTTAGTGGCTAGAGCACTGGACCTCGTACCAGAGGGTCTTGGGTTTGATTCCCAGTCAAGAGCATGTCGTACCTGGGTTTCAGACTCGATGCCAGTTGGGGCATGTGCAGGAGGCAGCCAACCCATGAGTCTCTCTCACATCGATGTTTCTCTTTCTTCCCCTCTCTCCCTCCCTCTCTCTAAAAAATGGAAAAAATATCCTCCAGTGAGGATTAACCAAAAAAGAAAGGCCACTGCACAGCTGTGGGATGCCCCGGCCACAGGAGGCTGCCCAGGACAGGGCCTGGCGGAAGGCACAGAAGCATCTTGGACCTTCCTGCTTCGAGGCCAATGGACGACGGAGCCCCTCACCGTGCCCACTTGTCCTAGGAGACAGGTCCCACGGAGGGCGGCCCATGGGATCACCCTCAGAGAGCACGCCCGTGTGCTTGCTACTTGTGCAGGGCGCATGGGACACGACGTTAGCAAGAGGTGCCTGGGTAGAGGATTGGGGTGTTCTCCTTCCTTCTGCAATAATTTATAAGCTTGAAGGTTTTCCAAGTAAGAGTTGAAATAATGACACCCCTGACCCAATTCCAGACTGTGAGTGCCCGTGGGGGTGCTCCCTCGGTCCGCCTGTCCCACTGTTGACTACTGTGTATGCCCAGGCGACACTAGGCTGGAGTTGGGGTGAGACTGTGTGGCGTCTACCCACTGTCAGTAAGTAAGATTCAAATAAACTGTCACCCCATCTCTGCCAAAAGAAAGTGAATACAGTGAGTGAAGAGAAATGGCAAAACTCCGCCGTGCTGGGGAGCTCTCCTGGGGACTGGGCCGCTCTGCGTGCAGGGGGTGCTGGCCCCGCGCACGGTGAGCACAGCAGACATGCTGAGTGTGAGGGACCCCAGGGTGGTCCTGGGAGAGACCACCAGGCAGAAGCCCCAGGAGTAGGTGCCTGAGGGTAGTTCGGGCCGAGGTGTCTAAAAGGTTGATGAGCATGGAGCACTCCGCCCACGGCACTGCACTCAGAAGCACTAATTTTAGTTCGACAGGCATCTCTCGGGAGTCAAATGCAGCCGAAGCGCACACTGACACCACGATGAGCTACGCAGGCTTTAGCGCCGGGTCTGTTCCCGGCACTACTTTATTTTCACTCACTTTGGCTCTTCTATGAAAACAAATCTGCTCACCAGATGGCCCACATCCCACTTCACTGCAGGACGCCCTTTCGGGCTGGACCAAGACAGACTCGCAAGGAGACACCCAGTTCCCCTGAATTAAAACCAGGGCAAGGGGCCCTGGCTGAGTAGCGTCATCCCAGCAGGCCAAGGTTGCAGGTTCAATCCCCAGTGTTTCTCTCTCTCCCCCTCCTTCTAAAGATCAATCAGCAAATAAATAAATTTAATAAAAACTTTAATAAAACCAAGGAAAGTGATGAAGTTGTAGGAGGGAGAGATCATTTAAGACAGCACTCAGGCCAACACCCGCACGAGGGCTTCTCGCCTGCACACTGAAAATCCTCAGCGACCAGGACACAGGCACCTGGCAATAACGGAAGCACGGCCCTGCAAGTGCACACGACCAGCACTTTTCAGTTTGGCTTTAATGCTTCTTTCCAGAGTAGCCACTACACAGGCCACTGGGGACCCTGGGGCGCTGCCTCCCTCGGCAGCAGGGCTCCATGACTGCCCCCCGCGGGCATCCGCAGGAGCACACACATGGCCCTGTTGCTAGGGGGCACCCAGAAAAGGGCTTCCACATTGCTTCCAGCATGTCTCGTGTCCCCAGTACACGGTATGTCGGGACTTTTATAAAATACAGTAAGATTAACTGCCAGACAGCAAAGCCTGTGGCCACAAACACTTGTCCAGGTACGTCCTTTATCTCCACTCCAAACTGTAATGAAGTTTATCCCTAAATTAGGAAAACAAAAACACGAAACGTGAGCCAGACCACACCTTCCGTACAGGGTTTAGCTGCATCACCTGCTTTGAAATACTTAGGTCCAAAGCACGAGTTTCCTTCTCATTCAGGCCTGGGCACCTCAGACGCTCAGGTGTGTGCATTTCCCACCTGCGAACGCTTCCTCCTGAGCCCCACGGGCAGCCCAGTGCACACTTCCTGGAGCAGGTACTCACCAGGGGCTGGACACAAGGAAGGGAGCACTTCCGACTTCCGACTTTTCAATTTGTTAGATCGTACTTTCTGTTTTGTTTACTTCAATTTCAGTAAAGCTGAAAATTTTAGGGCAGTTAAAACAGAAGCTCTTGATACAAATCCTACACTTTTTGACTCAGGTAGAAATCCAAGTTAGGTTGACGGCCCGGGCCTGTGTTGCTGAAGTGCTAGAGCACTTCAATCCCACCGGTCTGGGCCCGTGTGGGAGGTAACCAATTGATACACCTTTCGTACATCAGCTTCTTTCTCTACCTCTCTCTCCCCCTCCCACTCTTTCTAAAAATCAACAGAAAATAAAGAATTATTTTTTTAAAATAAAATCTTAAAAAGAAAAAAAAAATCAATGGAAAAACTACCCTCAGGTGAAGAATAGCCCAGCTGGCGTGGCTCTGTGGCTGAGCGTCGACCTATGGACCAGGAGGTCACGGGTTCGATTCCCAGTCAGGGCACATGCCCAGGTTGCGGGCTCCAACCCCAGTGAGGGGCGTGCAGGAGGCAGCCGGTCCATGATTCTCATCATTGATGTTTCTCTCTCCCCCCCGCATCTCTGAAATCAATAAAAATAAATAAAAATTAATAATAAAATAAGCCCTGGTTAGAGCATCTTGGGTTCAATTCCCCGGTCAAGGGCATGTACCTGGGTTGCAGGTATGAATCCCCACACCAATCAATGTGTCTCTGTCACATCAGTGTCTCTCTCCCCACTTCCGACCTCCCTTCCCACTCTCTCTAGAGATCTTCCGACCTCCCTCCCACTCTCTCTAGAGATCAATGGGAAAAATATCCTCACTCCTTGGGTAAGGATTTAAGTAATCATCATCATCATCATCATCATCATCATCATCATCGAGCCCTAACCAACATAGAGCCGGCCTGCGGACTGAAGGGTCCCAGGTTCGATTCCAGTCAAGGGCATGTGCCTTGGTTGCGGGCACATCCCCAGTAGGTGTGCAGAAGGCAGCTGATCAATGTTTCTCTCTCATCGATGTTTCTAACTCTCTATCCCTCTCCCTTCCTCTCTGTAAAAAATCAATAAAATATATTTTTAAAATAATAATAACCGATATAATAAAAGCCTCAGCGACTGTTATGGCGGAATGACTGGTCATTATGATGCGCACTGACCACCAGGGGTGTGCCACTCAGGCAGAGGCCAGGCTCACGGTTGGCGAGCCTAGCGGCGGTGGTGTGGCAGTAGCCTCTTCCGCCTCCATGGCAGTGCTAAGGAGCAGCGAGCCAAGCACCAAGGAGCAGCAAGCAGGTGGGCGGTAAGGAGCAAGGCGAGAGGGATGTCCAACTGCCAGCTTAGGTCCAATCCCCCGGGGATCAGGCCTAAGCCGGCAGTCGGACAATCCCCCAAGGGGTCCCAGACTGCAAGGAGAAAAAAAATTAATACCTGGGTGCATTAGAGGAAAAATACAAGAAAAAAAAAGGGCAGAGAACATCTTAATAGTCAGAAGAAAACTGGCAGGCGGGGACATCCCCCGAAGGGTCCTGGACTGCAAGAGGGTGCAGGCCGGGCTGAGGGATCGCCCCCGACCCCCCCCTCCCCCGCGCACAAATTTCGTGCACCGGGCCTCTAGTAAAATAAAAGTCGGGTTTACTGATCTGCAAGAGATGCCTTGGTTTTGACAGTGGTTTTCTCTGGATGAGAGGGATTATGAGCACTTTTTTCTCACTTTGTCTGAATTTACTGGTTCTGTAATAAGTATGTACTACTCTGTAAAAGAAAAAAGATTTCATTTCAGGGGGAAAACCCATGTTTCTCATTCTTAATACAAAGTAAGTGCTTGCTCTTCTCAGGACAAAACCAGTATTCTAGATGGCAGATCCCACCACACTCATAACCTATTAGATAGTGTGACGAAAATCGTGACACATTAAAACCAAACTATATAGTTTAAAAAAAAAAAAAAGAAAAGTATATATTTTAATCACAGGTTGGTAAGCATGAATTATTTTACACCACAGACATACCGGAAAACAATACAAAAAGTAATATTCAACATATTGAAGGTAATTTTTACATAATAATAAAAGTACCCTAGTACTCCGTGTGGGAAGCCCGAACTCAGGCCCTGTTCCTCATAACTCAGTCCCTGGTCCCAGAACTCAGTCCCTGGTCCTAGAACTCAGTCCCTGGTCGCAGAACTCAGGCCCTGTTTGGGTGCCATATGTGGGGAGCCAGCACAGCCATGGCATACTCAGCCCCAGGGTGCCTTATGTGCCATGCCAACTCAGCCTGGTTCAGTGACCCTGAGTGGGGGCGATGAAAGGCTTAGAAAAGACAGATATGAGAATGAAAGCTGGGTCTCGGTGGGACGCTGCTCCCAGATGGAGAGACAGCGACAGCGCCCACAAGCCGAGTCTTTATTTTATAGCGGATGCCACGAGGCAAAGTAAGGGCGTGATCAAGTTGTTTACAGCATTCTCATTAGTTTCAATCCCACTCCACTACATGCACCTGAACTCTATCACTCAGCACGTGAGGCCACGTGTTCGGACCACGGGCTCAAGCTCACAACTATAGCTGTTGGTTATAATTGTGCTGGGAGGGCTCTGCCCTCCAAGCTGGGACTTGCACGTGGCCATGAGAGGACTGTGCCCTCTCAGTAGTCCAAGGCTTGAACCTGTCCAAACACTCTGGCCGCGCCCCACACTCTGTTATCCACTCGATCTGTAAGATAAATACAACTTTATTTATATGTGACTTTCAAATAACAAGATAGTCATGTAACAACATGTATCATATCAGCTGTTCTACAAACAGACACCCATTTTGGTGTGTAACTTGGAAGGAAATTTTGGACATCAGACAAGCGCATCTGAAATCCTCACTTCACCAGCTCAATGCTTTACTTCCTTAACCAAAGGCTTTAAAGCCCCATGCCCTGCTACACAGAAAGTGTGCCACTTCCTCAAACTCAAGGAAGTGCTGGAGTGGGGACGTCTGCTCTCCCAGACTCACAGGGCACTTGCTGGCTCTCAAGTCACTTACCTAGTGGTCTGAACAAGAGCATCTGAAAGGTAACGGAGTAAGAGGAGCAGGCAAAGAGGCGGGAACAAGTTCGGGCACAGGAGCCAACAAAGGGCAAGAGCGAGGCAGGGCCTGCCCACAAAAGGCGCCAGCAGAACCCGGACCCCACCACTGTGGACCACTCTAGGTCAGAGAGCCCTGCACTGACCAGGCAATGTTCGCATCGCAAAGGAAACGGTCAAGAAAACCAGAAAGACTGTCACTCAACAGGAAGGTGGCCAGCCCTCCCTCCCCATAGCTCATGTCAGCCCCACTCTGATCTCCACCCTAGTGTCTCCTTTCTTAGCCACGCTGCTTCACTTTCCGACAAATTACTTTAAAAATCCTACAAGACTCCCAAATGTTGGTGGGAAAGAAAGGTGAGGAAGAGCATTTTATTGTCAAAGAAGGCGACCACACCTGGACTACAGGGCCCCAGACCAGTCACTGCAGGCAGTGTAGCCTTGGTCACCCTGGCAGCGTCTGGCTTACCCCATGGGCCAGTGCAGGCATGAAGAAAACCACATATCCTCCCAGGTCTAATAGACTCAAGTCTTTTGCAACATCCATGCTCCATTCACAAAGTGGTGCATGAATACGACCGCATTTCAGAGGACCACAAGGAAGCTCCGTAAACAGAAGGTACGAGGATGGTGTAACAGCCCTGTGGACCTCTCCCTAGCACCCCCATTCTAGGCTCATCTTGACCCCCCACCACCTGCACGTGCTTACCTCTGGGGGGGGATGTACGGAGCACACACAGGTGGCAGGGCCGCACAGGGCTCACTCAGTGTTTTCTTTGCCTTTTTTGCTTTCTTCCTGACCTTGGATGTGGACCTAACCGTTTTGACTGAGCTGTCTTTTCGACACACACCGTTTTTCATTTCGACATCCCCATAAATGTTCAGAGGCCTCCGGATACAGCCAGGGGGCGTGTGTACGTCACAGTAAGCGGTCTTTCTGACAGAGAAGGTTGTGGTGCCCCCAGTCAGTTCTTTCACGGGCTCCATTTTCATGTAGAGGCCGGCCTTTTGGGCACAAGTCACATGGAAGGCTGTGTAGCAGTTGGCCTTGTGGCACTGGATGCAGGCGCCCACACCCTTCTGTTTGCAGAGGTAGCATGTCAGCTTCCACCGGGCGGGAGGAATGTTCCTCACGCCATCGATGGGCTCAATGAACACTGTGTTGGCAAAGCCAACCTCGGGGATCCACAGGGCGCACACCACGTGGCCCCAGCGGTCATCGTCCGTCTTTTTGAAGGCACCTCCCTTGTTGGGACACAGCACGCAGTCCGCGGGACGGGCCCGGGACTGCAGGCAGTGCCGGCACAGCCACTGGCCCTCAGGGATGTAGGGGACCCCGTAGCACTCCTGGTGCACGGCCAGGTTGCACATGTCACAGAAGAGGATCACGTTGCTGTTCTGGCACTCACCGTCCATGCAGATGCAGCACACGGCATCCTCGTCGATCAGGGACTGCTGCTCCCCCTGCTTCTGGTTCTCGCAGTAAGACTCCTTCTCGAAGCGGTCCATCAGGAACTCAAACACGCTCTGCGACACGGCCGCCACGCAGTCGCCCTTGCGCTTCTCGTTGACGATCTCCAGCCAGGCATAGTCCTCCTCGTCCATGTCATACTCCACCTCGTTGTCCAGCTCCTCGGCGGACTTCTCCACAAACTTGTAGTACATGGGGGGCCTCCTGGGGGCGGACGGGGGGCTGTACTCCACGATCCGCACCTTGGGCTCCGGAAGTGCACTGGCAGAGGCCGGGGCGCCATGGGTGCTGGGAAGGGCCTCGCTCTTCTTTTTGACTCTGTTGTTTTTGTGGCGCTTAGTTCTTAAGCACACCGGTGGCCTCTCGCTGTTCTCTTTATTGCTGTTGCATTCACTCATTTCCTGAGCAGTGAGGTCATCTTCTAATATGATCTCCAGGGGATCAAAAATACTAATCCTGTGCAGGCGCCCCTCAATCTCTATCTCCACCATCCTTTGCGCTTGTGCGTAGGTCAGGGTCTCTCGCGTCGGGGAGTGCTTAGTACTGCATGGGGAGGAAGGGTGCCTCGCTGCAGCGCCTCGATGACATCGTCCTTTCCTCCTCATTTGGTACCGACTCCCTGGAACAGAGCAGAGGTGGAGTTAGCTGAGAAAACCACCAAGCACCTTGGGCAGAGCTGGCTGACCCACTCACACGGAGTCAAAACTTCCGGCGAACGTAGTTTTGAGGCCTCCAAAATCACTCATCCCAAGACTCACCGTCCCCACCAGGCCAATCCTCCCAGGGACTTCAGGACCAGGGGCTAGGAGTGTCCTAGAGAGGCATGTGCGCAATGAGTCCCCCGTGCCCTCTGATGCCCACTGCTCACCAGCCGCCTCCTAGACCAAGCCAAGGTCACTGAGGTGCTGGGAACAGCCCTCAGGAGTGAGTCTCCGCCCTGAGCCAGAGAAGCCCACACACAGGTCAGACTCCAGCAGGTATGGAGGTTGTGACCATGAGACAAGGGTGCTCAGCGGCTCCCTGCTCATGACCTATGACCCCCAGGACCCACCTTCTCCCCCCTGCTGCTGCCCAGGAGTGCCTCTGGAGCCCAGTGCACCGTCCTGACCGCAGCCTGTCCTCCTTCCTCTCCATGAACATGTCCTCCACACCTACGTTGAGACACAGGGCCACCAACCACACACCAAGAGCCAAGGGAGGAGCCGCATACTGACCTAAGGGACAGTCTTCACCCCCAGGAGGCCCCAACCCAGCTTCTGCGGGGCCTCGGCAGAGACCGCCATGAAAACCCCCCACGGGCAGTCAGCCGGCCCTTCCCCTCGGGGGCACTTCTCAGCTGTTGGCTTGACCAGTGCCGGGCCAGGCCCTCCCCCTCATGTACACAGGACACCGACAGCGTGCCCAGGGACAGCATCTCTGCTCCCGCTCCACAGCAAGGGCCCCCTGAGAACCCACACTGCCTGCAGAGCCCCCACTATGGGTTTGCAGGCAATGGCTCGGGTACCTGAATCCTTGGCCAGAGGTTTATCATTTGCTCCTTTCAGCCTGCACTGTCCGTCACCGACTCCCCCCAGAGTGGAACTGACAACAAGGACCGCTCTCGGACCTCTACACTCGCCTCCAAACAACGATGTACTGACAGAAAGCAAAGGGATACTTAGGAGACTGACTTACAAACTAACAGCTGCATGTGGCGGCCAGGGCGGGGCCTGAACCACAGCCTCGCCCTCCAGCTGGTCTTTGGGAAAAGCCCTCAACAGGCTTCCTAAGCCCTGAAAGCAAAGCCCGGAGCCCCTCCCTGCACTTTGTAAGCCGGGCCCTGCGGAGGGCAGTGTTTTCTCTTTTGTCCAATGGAAATCCACACTTTGACATTAATTCCTTGT